AAAGAATGATGATAATTAAATTTTTTGTTTAAAAAAAATAAAAGAAAATATATGAATGATGAAATAAATAAATTGAGAAATTAGAGATATGTGGCATATATTTGTTAAGTTTTTACAGGTATTGCACTTTATAATACAACTAGATAAGTATATAAAGACCCAAAAAAAAAAAATTGGGTACTAATTTTTTATAAGTTAAATGTTAATAATAAAATAAGTAAATGAGTACATAGAAAACCCGAAAATAGAAATTTGGTCCTTATTTTTATAAGTTAAATATTACTACATGTTATTTCAAAAATATAAAGTGTCCCTATACTTTACAAGTTTGCGTCATTACTTTATCATTACTAAATCGTGAATCTAGAATAATCAATTTGATGTGAGATGTAGTTTGATTAAAAAGCTAGAACCACTAATATTCAAGCCTCTTCAGAACTTAGTTGTTAAGTTAGGCGAACATAATTATTTTATTTAATGTAAATGCCATCTTTTTTTTTCAAAATTTCCATCGTCCAGCCTATTTATTTGTGTTATATAATTTGGAGAAAATTATATAACGGTTAAAATATTCGATGAAATGGTTACGTAACGAAAACATAACATTTCTCTATAATTTGATCTGGATTAATTATATATCATACGAAAAAATGACATGCAAGTGAATATAAAGATTTTTGTAAAAAAAAATTCCCGCCCCCCTCCCATTCCCCCCACCCCCCAAGATGTGGAAAAGTGAGTTAGATTTAAGATTCTAAACGGATATAAGAGAAAATAATAATAATTAAAAATGTAACTAAAAATAATATAATATTAATTGATGGTAACTGATAACTAAAAATATGTAACTTGGTATTTCTTATTAAAAATATATAATAATATTTGATATTTATTTATTTACGGTTTTAGTGGAATGATATAGAACAAAAATGTAAAAAGGTACTGAGATTATTATTATTATTACTATTATTTTGTTTCAATTCATATTTTAATGAAATAAATCTCGACTCACCGGATAAAATGAGACAGATTCCATATTATGATATTCAACTGAGCCAAAATATCCATATTTTTTCTATATATTAATTTTTATTTCTAACATTTACAAGCCCACAAATACCCTTCCCAATTTTTACCCAACTTGGCAGTGTACAAACTGCCCACACAGCTACTTATAATAATGCAACTCAAAACTCTGTCCAAACAACTTTTATCTCTTTCCCAAATTTCACATCCAAACACTCCAGCCAATTCCGCCCTACCGCCGCCCCCAACCACCGCACCGCCGCCTCCGCCGTTCTTGAAAATCAAACAACAAGAAGAAAAACATCATCAACCTCTCAAAAAACGACGCCGTTACACACATGTCGTACCACAATCAAGACCCCTCCGCCGCCGCCTCCTCGCAGCCTTTCCGGTGGCACTACGCCGAGTTCGACGACAGCAACTTCCAAATCCGCGGCCGCACGCTCTTCTTCGTTGTCGCCCTCTTCTCCGTCATCCTCCTCATCGCCCTCCTCTTCCTCTACGCCCGCTGGGTCTGCCGCTTCCCGCCGCTACCGCCGCCGCCGGCGACGCCGGCCCACTCCTCTCTTCCGGTCCACGCGCCGTCGAAGGGCCTCGACGCCGCCAGCATCAGCAGCCTCCCGATANTCCACATTAAATGATTGGATATATGCAATTGCATAAAAAGGAAAGTGAAATCTGGGTTGAGTTATTGTAAATTTTTTGCTAAAGTTTCAAGCATAAAATCAATTTTTTGGTGGATAATTTCAGTGTATAGAAATTATTTTTCACCTTTGTTACTAATATTCATACGATATTTATTGCAATTATAAAGAAACATCTCTCCATGTGGTCCTATACTCCTATGGCCTTTTTTTGTTGTATCAATCAATTCGTGTGAGAATATTGATTGAGTATGATTGCATGATATTTTATTTATATTTGACTATTTTATATGATTTATTTTTTATTTTTGTAAAAACATGACATATTTAAATTACATCATATACCAATCAATTTGTATGAGAATATTGATTGAGTATGATTGCACATATTTTATTTATATTTGACTATTTTACATGTTTTATCATCATCATTATTATTATATATTATTGTTGTTGTTGTTGTTGTTGTTATTATTATTATTTGTTTTCAAAAAAATTTGACATTTTGAAATTAAATCATATATATACCATTAATAAACTAGTCACAAATTTAAAAATAATGCAATTTAAAAATTAATGATGAAAACAAATAAAAAATAATCATTCATAAACTGTAAAGATTAATATATTTGCAATTGAAATAAAACTTTCATAAACATAAAATAAAATGGGTTTTAAAGATAAACAGTGTAATTTTTTCTTTGTTTGAGCATATTATAATTATTTTTCACATTAGTATAACGTCATATCAAGTATTAATCATGTCATCACGTAGATCGATATAAATAACTTGAAACAAAAATATAGTAAAAAAAAAAAAGTTTTTGAAACAAAAGAAAAAGATATAGAGTACTGTTTGTTATTAAAAAAAAAACTTGAAACAAAAATATAGTAATTATTTATCTTACAATTAGGGTCGTATCAAATCAAACGTAGTTTTTGAATGTTTTTGAATTCGTGTTCAATTATGTTAATTATGGGGTACTGTTTGTATTCATCATTTTTATTAGTTGATCATAAATTAGTGTTTCAGTTTGTTCATTGAAATTCGAGTGTGTTTATATTTGAATGATTAGGAAACAAGCTTATTGCTTGATTAACTCGAAATCAGTTCATTCGAAATCGTTTGAGCTCGAAAATATTTTTTTAGTTAAAAAATTCATACTTAAGAATTTTCTTAAAAAATATTATAAACATAAATATAAAATTTAAAAAATATATATATCAAATTTATTTTCACAAATAATATCGAACATTCGCAAGTCGGCTCGTGTTCACTTCAAGCCTCAACTCAACTAACATATGAACAAGCTTTTGTAAAATATTAATAAGTTCGAACGAACTTTTGTTTGTGAACGCTCAGTTCGTTTATAACTCTATTTACAAAATATGTGGGATTTTAATTCTTAATTTAAGGAAAATATATGAATTAAAATAAATTAACATGTCGTTAAACATCATTTGTTACGCATGTGTTATTTAACTAAATTTGTACTTAAAGTTTGTATTAAAATTTTTAGAAGAAGGTAAAATTGAAATAGTATTTTAAATGACAACGTCATTTTACAATTGACTAACTCATATAATATAAGATCAGATAGATAAATTCATTAAATTAGTTAGTAATAACTTTATTTCATATTTGAAATATGAATTTCATATATATCCAACACAAGAGATATTTAATTTGATATATTATATATTAAATGATTAAAATATTTATAATTTAAATTAACCTAGTATTATATAATTCTAAAAGTCCTACGTATTATGCATGAAGAATTTAGATTTCTATGGCTAGTCCAAACAATAGAAAGATGAAAAAAATACACATCTACCTAGCTAGTCCCAAATACCAAAAATAACATATAATTTACCAAATACCAAATATAAAATGACACAAAATTATACAACCTAATAAAAAATACACATAAATTACAAAACACCATAAAACGCATAATTAAAAAAAAAAATATAATAAGTTGCTATTTACGCTTGCAAAACTATACTTATATATAGAGAGAGATATATTTTTTATATTACAAAAACTAAACCCAAGTTAAAGATATTTCATAAAATTTAAAAAGAATCCTCTCTTAAAACATATAACTTGGACTTATCATATAATCTCGCTTAATTCATATTGTTCTTATGCCTTTTCCTTGGTTTGGAAAGATGCAAGTTGTTGTATGGTAAACAATTCTAGCTAATTACTTTAGGCATGTGCTTTCATGCATCTATCATTTGTTTTATTAGCCTTTNTATCCTATTTTTTAACTACAAATCTGTACTTTAGTGATGATCTATATATTTGGCAGGGAGCCATTAATCTCTTTCTTCAGTTTTGTAAGATTAACAAATCATACACTTGAATGTGTGTTTAAAAAATCACAAAATCTTGACAACTTGTGAAAATAATTTAATATGTGCGTAATGGATAGTGAACAATTCCATGGTATTAATTAGGGTGTGTATCAAAACTACTTTCATTGGATCCAATTAATTAATAATTCTCTCGTAACTTTTAAAATGGACCAATATTTTTCTTAATTCTTTACGAAAAATAAATTTCAATAAAAAATTTGACCAATTTCCCAAAACACTACAATTTGGTGGAAAACTCAAATTTCGATCTATATGCAACACATCGTGCGCACGAGTTCAATTAATTTTTGGCAAAAATTGTTCTCAAATTCATAAGTTTTAAAAATTATGGTACTAAAAGATTATTCTCAAATGGATAAGTTGTAAAAATTATGGTACTAATATTGATTGATATGACTGGACGTTACAACAGCCAAACATATACATAGGACCCTTTTTAAAATTTTCTAAAAATCTGACCTAAGCTCGCAACTTGGAATTGAAGAAACAAAGAAGCATAAAAATGGAGGAACAAATGTTTGCTTACCTACTTATCGTACATTTGTTTGAGTTATTCGAGCAAAATTGGAAAACTACAACATTGATGGAGTTGTAAAGTTGTGTAGATAGCACGTTCATATATGATCCATTGCTGATGCTTAATTTATTTTTTGGAATCCACAAATTTAGCTAAATTAAGGGACTGATTTACTTATAATAATAAACAAAAAAAAAAAAGGGAGTCAGAAAATTCATGTAACTTTGTTATATTTTATTACTGTGGTGTTGTCGTGTGTGGAGTTGGGGACTGTTGTCTTGAAATTTCTTTTGTATTCATTCACTTATTTAACTGTACATCTTCACCCATTTTCTTTCTTTTTCATTTCAGACTTCATACTATAAGGCCACATTTTCACATGCTCTGCATATAAATATTGCTCATTTACAAAAACACAAATTCTAGGTTGTTTGGGTTAAGGTTAGTAAAACATACTCCTTCCTGTTTTTTATAAATGTCATTTTGACTTTATTGACAATTGGTTTAATAAATGACATTTTAGTTTTTTTTGTTCATATTTTTCCATTTTTGTCCCCATCCATCTCTCTATATGAAGAAGATGAAGAGTCTTTCTTCATTAAAACAACATAATAAAGCTCAAAAAAAAAAATAAGTAATTAATATTGATTCTCATTAAATAAGGATAAAATTGGTAAAAAAAGAATCTTTAATTCCTGTGCTTTTACACAGAACGACATTTATAAAAAACAAGAGGGAGTAATTTTCAATGGATATATATACTTTTAAACTAAACCGTCACATATTAAAAAATAACATAAACAAAATTTTGACATTTCATAGTATAAAAATGCATTTTTTGTTAATAAGTATACTGAATCGACTCACTTAATTGTTAGGTTGACTCGTCATACTTTTTTGACAAAAATGTACACTTTGCTTAAAGTATAAACGAGTCGAGCTTGAGTCCTTAATGTACCGAGCTCAGCTTGTTAGCTAAATATGTCATTAATCGAGCTTGAGCTAGCTCATTTGTCAATAATGACGAGTCAAATCATAGAAAATTATATAAAATTTTCTCTTTTCGAATCATATCAACCTGAGTCGGACTCGTTTACTAAACGAGCTTTAATCAATCGAGTCGAATTTAAGAGCTGCTCATTTTTATTTAACAATTTTATTTATAATGTGGAACGCCATACTTTTGTTTTGTATTGTTGTTTCAAGTGACATTTCAATTTAATATCGATTTATTATGACCTGATAGTTATTAATATGGGCTCAATTTAAAAGGGCTGGCAATATTGGTTTACAAATAAAAGCTACTCCCTCCATTTTGAAATATAAGGCGTATAAAGATTTCTCATTTTTTTTGAAATATAAGGCGCGCTCAAAAATCAAGACAAATTTTTCCATTTTTTTCCAAATATACCCTCATTGTGTTGAAATTAAGGAAGTGTGGAGTGGTTGTGATTAGAGTAAATAAGGTTAATTTAGTCAATTTATTCATTAATTAATGTCTCCTTAATATTTGTGCAATAACCTTAAATGCCTTATATTTCAAAATGGAGGGAGTATAATAATTGTGCCAATTTGATGGTTGCAATTATTTTGATATTTATAAATATAAAAATTATTTTTATGAGTTTGGATGTGATGCTTATCCATTTGGTGGAGATTGTGCAGAGTACATGTGGACTTTATAACTACGATTAAGTCTCTCTCTAGTAGGATCTAGCATGGGCGAGCACCACAGTGCACGTGTTCTGATTAATTTAACTTAATGTGATAATTTTTTTTTCTTCAAAATAAAAAAGTCACCATGTGTTAATTGAAAATGTTAAGACTAGCTAAATTTGCAACTCATATTGATGGTTGTGTTTTTGTTTGTAATTTTTAAAAGTTTGATCTACACTTTGTAAAAGATGATGAGTTGATGAAGGGATATTATATGAGTTGAGCTGAACATTTTATGTTAGAGTTTGTTTAATAAGATAGTTGATTTGATTCCGATCGTTAATAAAAGAGTCAAAAATTCGGCTTAATCTTAACTCATTTAAATTCGTGAAAGTTCAGTTATTATGTATTTGCGAACATCTCTCTGATCAACTGTTTATTTGAAATCTTTAAATATAAATAAAAAAGAAACGCTTGTTTGCAAATGAGCTCGACTTATTTAATGAACAAATTCGAATTCGAGCTCGAGTTGCTTAAACGAACAAATAACAACTGTAATTTTAAATTCAAGTTTTCCTTTCTGAAACAATTCATTCACGGTGAAAATAGTACACTTCTCACTATTCACCAGATTTGATTAGTGATTTGGTTTAGTGAAACAAAGACGCCTAATGAAGCCTAATCCATGTAAATTCTCATGAATTGAAATATTTAAATATTAATGTTTCAATCATGGGGATTTGCTCTAATTCCACGTTGCCTGAATTTGTTTCACTTGCTTTTCATACCACAGTTAAATTCGTACTATAATTTCACTAGATTGAAAATATTTTTTTTATCGAATTAGGACATCTATATATCTATATATAAAAAGAATTACCATTTATCAAAAATAGTAAGCAAAAAAACTGCCAACATTAATTACATACTATTTTGAGTAACTTTTTTTTATATATGTTTCAAAAAGTCAGAAAGCATTTGACTTGGTAAAAAATCGGATATGTATCTTCACTTGCTAATTAATGTTTATTATTTATTTATTTTCAAATGGTAAAAGAATTTTTATAATTTCTGTCTCTTTAATTTTGCATTACAAAACAAAATTCAAATGAATTCCGTAGATTAAGAAACACGTGATGCTCAATTAAATAGAAAAAATTTATATTAAAATTTATTTTGAAATCTCGATTTGTTCAGATCACTAACATACTACAAAAATTTAATAAATATGCATTAGATCACTGCTTTGTTCAGACCCATGTTCGTATCAAGTCATCATGTCAATTACATGATCAATTATTTAATTTTAATTTTTTAAAAAATATATATAAGTAATAAACAGTTAATTTGTCTTCTGTAATATAATTTCGAGTCATAATATATGGCCATTTGTTATAAACATTTACTATATGAATCACAAGTTATTTTTTATTTTATAAAATTAATTATATTTACGACAAAAAAGATGAAATTTATTTGGATCAACCGGTTCAGTGAATCAGGTTATTGTACATGTTTATTGGACCAATTTTTTTATCATTTGTAAAAATCGCCGAAAAATATGACATAACTTTTGTTGCATCTTGGGTGACCATGTTATGAGTCAAATTGACTGAATTAAGTCGATTATTGAAACTGAATACTGATTTCTTAAGAAATATTTATTCCAATAAATATAATACAATTCAAATAAATAAAGTAAGAATGTTGTCATGGGGTAATGAAGACGAATGTTTAGTTATATATTGTGGGAAAGACTACAATCCATTACGAAAATATTTTGTCAAAGTTTTTAACTGTTAGATACACATGTAGATTAGTGGAGGATAAATAATATACTGTTGAAACCCCCCGACGGAATAATGTCGTAACAAACTTTCCCTTTAGTTTATAATTCAATTGTTTTATTGTTTACCCGTGCATCGCACGGGCCACGTACTAGTAAATAATATATTTATTCGACCAAATGTCTTACTGTATTATTGAAAAACTATAAAATGCATACCAATTATTATTTTATACAGTAAGAAAAATCCTACCGCCCAATAAATAGGTTGATTTGGTCCACTTGCTTTATGAAAAGAAATAAAATTAAATGCATGACCCGGCCTGAGGCCCCATTTAGTGATTTAATGATATAGGGATTGTTGGCGTATAATTCTTGTCATGATCGTGAGTCCGTAAATCCTGGATAGCAGCACATGTGTCCACTGGGCCTGAGGCCCCATTTCTCATATAATATGGGCCACGTATGGGCCTTCAACTTCCTTGTCATATAATTCCTGGGCCACCGTTGCAGCCCAAGAATATTGGAAAATGGACTGCAGAGCTATCAACTATCGTATTAAATATTAAATGGGCCCGTCTTTCTGGATTGTTCAATACTGGGCCTATCTCGATACAATGGAGCTACGCAAAAGGAAAAGAGATTAATTGAAAGGCTATTGACACCACGCTCTTATCATATACCAATTTCGCAATTGCATAATGCAATGTATACTCCTAGAGGTTCTATTAATCAAAACAAAGGTACACTTGAAAGAATAGAAAAAAAATTGGTTATAGTCTCCAAAAAATGGATCAATGATAATTCGGATAAAAAAACCTCTGCCTCTTGCTCCTGGCCGAGTAACCCGACGAGCCAGCCGATATAACCACACGACTCAATGCCAATTTGAGCGACTGCTTGATTGAATCGGTCACAGCACTATTATTACTATTATTGTTGTTATTACTATCATCGCTATAATTAGTGCACAATACGAGATTGCTCTTCATCCTGCCACCTATGGTCGTGATATCGGCCTTGTGTATGGTGAGGCCCAAGCCCGTTACGGCCCCATCAATCTCGGCAAACAATTTGGGCCGATCATCGCAACAAATCGAGGCCCGAAAGTAGATGCTTCGACCGTCCATCGATGATGATGTCTGAACGTCGTCGTTTAATTGCTCGATGGTGATCTCATCAGTCTCGGCCGGGACGGTTGAGGATTTGCTAACCTCCTTCGCGATCTTGCCCTGTTCCCTCACGTGTTCCACCACGTGTCCGAGTAGGGCCGCCTTGTCCATCTTTATGAAATTGTACAAACATTAATATTTGTTTATTTTAAGAAAAAAAAAAAAAGGAATGATTTTTATTATTACCTTCTCGGACTCGGGGATGAGTTTCCTGAGAGTGGCGAGCTGGGCATTGATCCTGTCCCGCCGCCTCTTCTCGGCCTCGCTGTGGCTTCTAGAAGAACCCGCCGACCCTCCGTACGGCGGGCCCCACGGAGTTCCGGCGGCGGCCGGGTGGTACATATGGTACTGCAGGGCGGCGGCGGCGGCCGTCTCACCCTGGCTGTTGCCCCACGAGCCGTACTCTCCCGGCCAGTAGTAGTTCTCCATTAATTAGCACTATTTTCTTAACTTTTATTATTTTATTTTATTTATTTTGAAAAATCTTGTTCCTCTCGAAAATGTAAAAGTGTTGGAAAAGAGGTGCCGGAATTTATATAGTTGGAGTGTGCTGGTTTTTATAAAGCATAATTGGTGGCACTTCTTTTTCCTTTTTTATTTTTATTTTATTTTATTGTGCCGGTTTGATGAAACGGCTCATTAAGCTCGTTAAACTTTATAGTTTATTATAGTTTATACATATGAATTAGGTAAGTTTTTGAACTATTAATATAAAATTGGTAATCAAGCTAATTTTGTTAAAATTTTGTTAAAAAATTATGGTTACGCTTGTTAATCACAGGGTTTTAGTCTGAATTCGGATAATAAAAGTCCGAATTCGACTCATTTAATTACCTTTTCATTTTGGTTATGGCTATGTGTGTGAGATTATTTATTACTACTACATAGATTGTGACAGGTACTTTTTTTTTTGGCTAATTGGTCAGATGAGAATTATGGCGAAACTATTGTACTTGGCCTTATCTCCACTGTCACGTCAAAGACTGAAAGGCTTGAAAAATATATTTCGAATCTTTTCCTTTTATATTTATTAAATTTTAGGCTTTTACTTTGATGTAAGCCCAAGGTCATGTTTAATAATTTGGTAAGGAAAAACAACGGAATTTTACAATTATTTCGTATCTTCTTATTATGAAAAAAGACTACAATTTCGTTTTAACAGTTAGATACACATGTAAATTAATATAGTCGATTTTGCTATAGAGCCATCCATAATTATTTAGAAATAGTCTATTGACACGTGTCGGTTCACATAGTTATGAATGGCTCCATAACAATGCCATAAAATTATCGATAGTATAAAATAGATAATCCACTATTAAAGTATAAATGTTATATATGTCCTATGTCTATAGTTTTGAGGTTAATAATTCCAACACAATGCACTGTTGCTAGTACTAATGAAGCATATAAGTTGGGATGTTGATGTGGTCATAAAAATAATGTAATGAGCGTGATGTAAATAAAAGAAAACTACAGTTTCATATCAATAATTGGTCAAGTTGTTTGTTGATAACCATGCATTATTATGTCATGTATCTACATTAGAATAATATATATAGTTCAATAATTTTTATCATTTCTTATTTATACTCATTATTTTTTTTTTCAGTTATTATTTATTAAAAAAATTAGGTTTTATAATGATACAATAACTTTATATATTTTTTTTTGGTGCAATAACTTTATATTTTCTTCCATATTATGTCCAATCACTCCTCAACATTTTATTTTATTTGTATTTCTGTCCAATCACAGTAAGTATTTTGTTGAAGGATTACGAGATTTTAACATGGATGTTCAATTCCCATATAGTGATATGTGATTAATTTAACTCTTAATTATAATTCATTTCATAGCACATATTTCGTTCCACTCTTTAATAGTTACCATTTTAATAATCGACAAATTTGACGCTACTAGTAAAAGGTAGAGTTTATTCCATTTAGATCACAACTCACAAACGTTTATTAGGCAACACACGATTTTATATTTTTTTCTTATACTTACGCATCGAAACGAACTTAGAAAAAATATTAGATAGCGTGAAAAAAAAAAAAGAATAATATCCCATGCGTAAATTTCATGGTTTGTTTTTTCATTACTTTTTGTCCAAAGGTCTTCAAGGTAGCCTATAGTCCGCCGTGGATGAGAATAAATTACACAGCACGTCTAAAAAAAAAATGATCAATTTTAATGATCTTTATAAGATTTGATTGATATTTTTCACACATTCACTCATATGAAAGTCGTAAAATATTTATTGGTTTACCTGGAAAGGACTCAACATCATGTGTTAAATACCATAAAGGATTAATATGGGGCCAGCCATTTTTTTTTTTCACTATTTCAAACCGTCGATTGGCAATATTTTCAGTAAATAATTATTTAAAAAATTCATATTTAATTAGTCCTACAAGAAATTAATAGGGAAATGTCAAATGTCTAATAGTATAGTGATTTATAGGCATGCGTTTGATTGGCTTGCCAATCTAAGTTTGTTTTACACTCAAATGCTGACACTGTCGGTGAGGAATGTAGAAAGACGGATGATTGGTGTGCAATCGAGACAAAAAAATAAAAATAATTTTTTAAATGAAAGTTTGGCTATTATTGTAACAAATTATTTTCTTGCATGACATGATGGAAAAAGAAAATATAAATTAATTAATTTAAGTTTCTTTACTATATATGCCATGAATAAATTCTTTGTCCACCATTGTGACAAGAAAAAAGAAAAAGAAATATAGATTTGAGCATATGAAGAATATCAATTCATGCTTATCTATTTCAACAGTGGCTTCTGAAGATAAGTTTGCTTATAATAATAATAATAATAATAATAATAATAATAATTAAAAAAAATAAAAACAAGCAATTTTTCTTTTTCCTCACTTAGAGTCACTCTATCATAGCTTCACAACTGCTGCTGTAAGACGGGATAATAGCTAAATGAGTCGATTCATCATATTTTCCAAAAGAAAAATGTATGTGCTTACTTGTGAAACAGTTTTATTTTGGAGCTATTGAATGATACAGTATATTATTGAGTCATTTATAATTAATAATCACAAATAATGTATTGGCTCGTGTTGTAAAATAAATATTCATGAATTATGTGTCAATTCATTTTTTTTCATGATGACTCGATAAGTAATTCATTCGCTGGTTCCACATAAATTCTTTATTGTGAAATAATTTTACATTGGAGCTATTAAATTGCACACTTATCGACTTATTAATAATTATTTTACAAATAGTGTATTGACACGTATTTTTAAAATAAAAAATACTTTTAAACAGTGTGTTAATACGTCCCTTTATGAATATAAGAGTGTGGTGTGTTAATACGTCTATTTGAGGTTGATGTGATGTGTAAAAATGATTGATTGATATTTTTTAATTATGTTGATAATATTGATGATAGTGGGGGTGAGTTAAAGTTGAGTTAAAAAAATAATTGAGTTAAAAATGATTGAATTTTTTTGATAAATTTTGTATCCAAGCATCCGCAAGAGAGTTGGGGAAAGAAATGAAAAACTCTAAAACATTGTACTTATAGCCACATAAAGTAGAAAACAACTAAAAAATGAAAAGGAAAAGGAAAGAAATTGAAAAACTAATTTTAGGCTGATTCTAATAAAAATATATGTCATTAGTCAATCTAACACAATTATTTGCAGGAAGACCATATGCTCTCGTATTCCATATGATGATGGCACAGAAAAAAAATCCTTAGATTTTAGTCTAATAAAAGAAGACCATAAATCACAATCCTTAGATTTTATTCTAATAAAAGAAAAAAAAAAACAAAAGGAATTAGGAGCACACTGGGTTGTTTAGTACAAAAAACAAGGTTACTGTCAAACGGTAGTACAAACACAAGTTGATGAATCAAAAAGCCTGTAACATAATAATAGAGATAAAATTACCTTGAGATAAAAACATAAAAGGTATTCACGTAATTTTTAATAATTACCTTTGGATTCTCTTCGTTATTAGCTAAAACTTGCAGGGCGGTACTGCAACTATTATCCGTTACAAGTTGAAACCTATCAGTAAATAATTTCCTAGGCAAAATCTTGGACTTTTTGACTTTTGTAGCATACTAATATGCTATGATAGGTTAAAAACTTAAAAATTCATGTATTCAATGTATGTAATCTGGAATTAATCTCAAACATATCTTATCCCATATCAATCAGCGGTGAAACGTGAGAATCACTGTCTATTCTTCGTGCCAAACTCTCACTGTAAAGGTCAAAAATTGATGGCAATTTTTGGTGTGACGAAGACTTTGACCGAAATTTCACCAAATGATACTAATTAAGGCATGGGACTGAGGTAATAATGATGATTATGATTGCAATTGTGTTCCAAAAAAGTTGCAAAGTATTTGTCACCCACTGATACAGTCGAATTCTCCCATATTTAATTACAGGCTTAGTTCTTCCATATTTAATCACAGGCTTAATTAATTGTTGTCTCCGTTTAGGGTAAGTGATGTTTTAGTTTATCCAAATTACCTGCAATGATAAACGCATAAATACCCCTTACTAAATTTTATATTTTATCACCATATCCATCTTTTTTTATAGGAACTGAGATGACATAATAATAATAATAATAATAATAATAATAATAATAATAATAATAATAACCCTAAACTATCGTTTATATTTTGACAAATCAATAGTACTAAAGCTTGGTCTGTCTATGGACAAAATGAAAACATAGGAAAACAAAATTGAAGGCACTGTAGCCATAGCTAAAAAACAAACAGGAAATGTAGTGTAATGACAAAGGAAAGCCAAATAGACAAAGGTAATGTAGTGTAATGACAAAGGAAATCCGATGGCTCCATAGAATTATTTTTGTGTATTTAATGCAAGACACGTGTCAATACACCATTTATGAATAACTATGGATGACTCCATAAGCCGAGTCATCCGATGATTCCATAGAAAAACCGGTCGTTTATAGTATAGGTTCATTGTTTCAGAAACTAAAAAGTCATGCAAAAAAATTACAAAGTAACAATTTACATGTGAAACATCAAATTTTAGCACTCATGATTTCTTATAAAACCTTTCAGCTATCACCTTATGAAACATAATTGGCCCAACTGCAGCCTTGAAATCTTGATAAAATCTTTGTTCCGAAAACTGTGAAGCTCGTTTTCTTGCTGCTGCAGCCATCTCAAGCCGCTCGGACTCTGGCATCCGGGTAACTGTGAGTATAGCATCTGCATATTGTTGCACAGTTTGAGCAAGAAACCCTGTTTGCTTACCGTCCTCAGGCAACACAATGTCCATTTTAGGGCCAGCAGAGTTATGAGCTGAGAATTTATTTTAAGAAAAAAAAAAAAAAAAAATNGGTTACATTTTTGTGAAACTCCACATCACTTTCCAGCTCCAGCTCATTGGTTCGATCCTTCAAATGCTGTAACCTTCTCTCATCTGCTTCATTCCTGCAACTACCAACGAATTGGAGCTTCGGTCTTGGAACTTCTGCTTCCAAATTCTTGATTGCAACTGCAAACGCCTCAAGTTGAAGCATATGTGCCTGCAAATTACCAATAATAAGTAGTGAATTCACATATATGCAACAGATCCAGAATTTAAATTATCCCGCGATTATGATTACCTTTGATCTCATAAAATGCGCACCTTCTCTGGACGAAATTGAGCCACCGAAATAATCTTTACAGGTGTTGTCGATCTTTCCAGTGGTAGGACCTGTTCGGAGGGCACATATCAGATCTCAGAGTAGCAGCATAAGTCCTTAAATAATATAGAAAACTACACCTAAACATGGGAAAACCAAGAACATGAAGAATAAATTACTAAAAGAATTTCACATTGATATCTAGTAAGTTCAACTATTCCTTTTATCCTCCATTCTGATGGACAGCACAGAGTAACAATTCGTTAATTACAAAAAAAAAAAAAAAGAAGGAAAAGGCATGGAGGGCTCCACCAACGTATTCTTACGCCCAGTGTTTGTCCATTCTTTATTGACAACTGAATATACTAGACTCATGCATAATTTTCAGAATCATGGAAAACACTAGGAGTTCAGTTTCCATCTTAGTCGTTATAAAAGAGAAATAAGACTTTGTACAACTAAACCATCTAAATGACATGTAGGTATGAGATGAAGATGGCACGGCAAGAAAACCTGGAGGCCAAAGGTGTCACATGGAGGATATACTCTCCTAATGCGATCTGGAATTCCCCAAAGCTTCTGAATATGGGACTGAGTCCATGAAGAATTAACCATTCCTAGCTGTGCACAAGAGCCTACAATCCCATACATCCAGCTGAAAACCTTGTAATAATAACTTTACACTGAGAAAAGAAGACACTGCAAAAAAGAAGGTTGTTTTAGCTTTCATGAACAGACAGAAACTAGAGGGGAACTTATAGGATAATCAGAAATATATACAAAAATAGCAAGAATCCTTCATTGAACTATCAACATCATCACATATCTGGGGTGATGCAAACGGACTGATGAAACGATAACAGATGTTTAGATTTTCCGCATCTTTTCAGCTTAAGGAGGCGCCAATTAAGTAAACATATTTCTTCTAATGTGTAGTTTTTGAACCCTTTGAGATGACCCAAGGATTTCACTATTACTGTATTCTATTTACAGCCAACACAGTAGCTGTAACGAAGCCTCCATAGGGGATCGAATACGACTCCTACTCTGGTGTAGAATAATAATTATTGTTGTTATTATTATTATTATTATTATTATTATTGTTATTATTATTAGGTATCTTGAAGAATAAGTTAGGAATTATATATTATTATAAAAGATCTTGTCTTGTTGGACAAGTTAGTTTAGGGTTTTGGGTGTCTTATTTAAAGACTCCTCTTCTTTGTTATTCAGTGGTTGATTTTGAATAAAAATATGAAGTGATTGTGAGTTTTATCGAGAGAGTATCTCGTTTATTTTTCCCACTCGTACGCTTCCCTACATCATACTCTTTCTTCCGAACTGACACAGTGACACCTCACAAGGGACACATGTAAGTTCATTTTTACAACTGTCAATTAAACAAATTTTGGCACCATTATCACTAAATGACTAGAATACCTGTTCAACATCAGCAACGGAAAACATCCCATTGTTCTTTTAAAATCTATAAACTTGACATAATAGCTTTATGTGAGAAGCTGTGAAATATACCTCTTAGCAACCAAAGCATCATTATTGTACATAGAACTCCGTCCATGGACCCTTGACAGCATATCCAAACTAATAGTCGGGTAATGCGTATAGCAAATAACTTTACATCCAAATATCCGCGCAACGGGGTACGTAAATGCATATCCGCTGGTGTCAAAATAATACAGAGGAGTGAATGAGCATAAAGCTTCCCACGAAAGGTACACTGAACCAAGGCTCTGACCAATCATGGCGAATCGCGGATAGGTAGCTTCTTCAATCCACTTCCTCTTATACAGATGTACCACCTGCCCTGGGCAGAAAAATATGCATAAAATATTGGTAAACAAACCATTGTTACAGTCTCTTACATTGAAACTTTGAAAGTTCTATACACAGAATGGAAAAGTAAAAAACCACTAAGAAAATAAAAAGAAAGAGAAATAGCCATACAACATAAGGTTAGGCACAGGCAATTCTGCAAACAAGACTAATTAACATACCACATAGTAAATCATTGTCAATAACCGACAGAATTTCATAAACCTTATTTTTTCCTAGACGAAGCAATACAACATCGATAATTGAAGACAGCGAACAATTAAATCAATGCAATTCCAATACTAGCTAAAGGATTTTCAACAAATCTAAGAAGGATTTCATAATGCTTGAAAATGAGGAATAGTCAGATCTGGAATTGATTGCTCAATGAATTGTGTTTTTCGTACATATTGCGGCTGCTACAATATCATATATATAGGAGTTGCCAATTAGGTAAAAGACCTACACTCACTACAAGACAAAGGTAACAAAGGGATTGGAAAATAATGGACTACAGCTCATTTGTGTCCTTTCTCTCTTGTGACTGTGCATGGTTGTGCATGTCATCATGCATGACTGCCAACGTGGATAATTCATCATTCCCCCTCAATTTAAACGAGCAACTGGAAATCAGCCCAAGCTTGTTCCTCATGTGAGTGAAAAATTGTCCACTCAACGGTTTTGTGAAGATGTCGGCTACTTGATCCACTGCAGGCACATGTTGAACCAAAATTAACTTTTCAGTTACTTTATCCCTTATGAAATGTAGATCCAACTCCATATGCTTTGTTCTTGAGTGAAAAACGGGGTTGACAGACAAAGAAACAGCACCTAAGTTGTCAGTCCAGATTATGGATGGTTTTGGAACATGTATGTTCAGCTCTTGCAACAAGGATCTTATCCAAACCAGCTCACAAGTAACCCCTGCTATACTTCTATACTCAGCCTCGGTGCTTGAACTTGAAACCACTCCTTGTTTCTTAGATGTCCAAGAAATCAGATTGTTTCCTAGAAACACACAATTTCCAGAGGTTGACCTTCTATCATCAATGTCACACCCCCAATCAGCATCAGCAAAGGCTGTGAGTGTGAGATAGGCATTGTCCTTGAAAAACATTCCAAGATGAATAGAACCTGCTAAGTACCTTAATACTCTCTTTAAGGCCTTCCAATGAGTTGAAAGAGGATTCTGCATATATTGGCTGAGCTTATTAACACTAAATGTGATGTCTGGTCTAGAAATTGTGGCATATTGAAGAGCTCCAATGATTTTCCTGTACATAGTAGGCTCTGAAATTGGATTTCCATCAAATTTAGACAAATGAGGGCTAGGAACCATGGGAGAACTCAGTCCCTTGGCATTAGACATCCCAGCTGCTTTGAGGATTTCAAGAATGTAGTTCTCTTGTCTTAACAACAGACCACCTTTTACTTTATCTATTTGAATTCCCAAGAAGTGATGTAAATTTCCAAGATCTTTCAAAGGAAATATTCTGTTAAGATCATCAATGAACCTATTGATGTCATCTTGAGATGGTCCAGTTACTATAATGTCATCAACATAGGTGAGGACAATCATAGTAGACTTGAAGTAAAGAGAGTTGTCTGCTGCTGAGTTTTTGAAACCAAAGGATTTTAGAACTTGAGCTAGTTTGGAACACCATGCTCTTGAGGCCTGCTTCAGGCCATAGATAGATTTTCTCAGTTTACAAACCAAGATTTCCCCCTCAGGTCCAGTTTCTTCAAAACCTGGAACCTGTTGCATGTATATGTCTTTGTCTAACTCCCCATTAAGAAATGCATTATCAATGTCCAACTGTTTAATGGTCCATTTCTTCATTAATGCAATGGAAATGATTAACCTGATAGTTGTAGGTTTAACCACAGGACTGTAGGTTTCAGTGTAATCCAAGCCAGCAATTTGTGTAAATCCCCTAGCAACTAACCGAGCTTTATGTCTCAGAACTTTACCTTCAGAGCTTCTCTTCAATTTGAATATCCATTTGCAGCTGACTATGCTTTTATCATATGGAACAGGTACAAGATCCCATGTGTGATTTCTGATAAGAGCATTAAATTCTCCTTGCATTGCCTGTTTCCATGATGGCATAAGTAGAGCTTCTTTGTAGGAAGCAGGTTCAGTGGATTCCATTAGGGCTGCAGCATAGGTTTTTGGTTTCAGATTTCTAGTTTTGGATCTTGTCACCATCTTGTGTGTACCTGCAATTGCCTGCTCAGATTGGTCATTAGCACTGGCATCAATTTGTTGGTTAAGTGCTGAAGTATTCTCTATAGGTAAATCTATAAACAATTCACAATCAAGAAGAATGGTGTTTGGAGATATAGTGACAGGGTGATGAGATGATGAAGTTGGAGAATTTTGTGGTGATGGTGTTGGAGAATGTTGAGATGGGACTGTAGAATGACCATCATGAGTGGTTGAAGCAGGTGATGAAGAATCAGAAATTAAAGTTGGGATGCCAGTATGGGGAAAGAGGAGATTTTGGTGATCAGGAGGTAAGTCAACAGCATGTTTAGCCAAAGGAAACAAGTGTTCATTAAAAGTAACATTTCTGCTTATTATGGTTCTTTTGTCTTGAAGAAGGATTTTATATCCTTTGTGTTGGGGGCTGTAGCCAATAAAGGTGCCAAGTTGAGATCTGTCCTCTAATTTATGTTTGTTATAGGGTCTCATGAGAGGGTAACAGGCACAACCAAAGGTTCTGAGGGATGAATAGTTAGGAGGTTGACCAGTGAGAATTTCAAAAGGGGTTTTGAAGTTGAGCACCTTGGTAGGAAGTCTATTTATCAGGTAAACTGCTGTTTGAAAGGAATCATCCCAGAAGTTTTTGTTCATAGAGGCAGCAGTGATCATGGAAAGACCAGTTTCTACAATGTGTCTATGCTTCCTTTCAACTAATCCATTTTGTTGAGGTGTATAGGGACAAGACATCCTGTGAAAGATACCATTTTCTTTGAAAAATTTTGAAAGAGGTTTATACTCGGTTCCCCCATCACTCTGAATGATCTTAACCTTTCTTTGAAATTGTCTCTCAACAAGTTTAATGAAGTGAATGGTGACTGAAGAGACATCAACTTTGGATTTCAAGAGAAACAGCCAAACATATCTTGATTTATGGTCCACAAAACTAATATAATACTTGTAGCCATTCCTAGATGTGATAGGAGAAGGCCCCCAAAGATCAGTGTAAATAAGATCCAGTAAACCATAATGATCACTGAGAGATTCAGGAAAGGAAAGAACATGACTTTTTGCTTTCATACAAGGTTCACAAACAAAGTTCATATCATTATTACTGAAACTGAGGTTACAATGCTTCATAACTCTCTTGACAACTTCAAAAGAAGGATGTCCTAATCTAGAGTGCCAAACTGAAAAAGGACTTCTAAGATTAGCCTCAGCTACATGCACTTCATGGAAAGGTCTTTTATTGAAAGCAGATAAATTGAGGTAGGGTTGACTTTCTTCTCCACATTTGCTAGAAAGGTTGAAGGTGTATAGGCCATTTTTGAGCTTTCCTTCAAGTAAGGTTTCCTTTGACTGAAGATCCTTCACAAGACAAAAGTTGGGGTGAAATTCAAAATAAACACTGTTATCTTTTGCAAACTGAGACACACTTATCAAGTTTTGGGTAATGTGTGGGACATGAAGAAGATTTTTGAGGGAAAAGCTATGAACATTATGATGCAATTGTGAACTGAGTATAGAATCACCAATATGAGAAATACTCAAACCTGTCCCATTGCCAATCTGAACCTTTTCATTTCCTTGATACTCTGAAGCTATATTGAGATTGCCAAGATCATATGTAACATGATTTGTTGCCCCGGAGTCTGGAAACCAGCAAGAATCATGAGAAGAATCTGCCACACTGCCACTGCTTGAGTATTGGCTGTTTGGGGAGTTCTGAAGTTGTGTCATGTTGACCTGACCCCCTGAGTTGAAGTTTGGTGGATTAATGTTGGGGGTGTAATTCAAATCAGCCCTGTAAAAGCATTTTTCTGCAGTGTGATTGGTTCTATGACATATTTGGCAAGCATTTTTCCAAGAAGATCTTCCTCTTCCTCTTGCACCTGAGTTTCTGCCCCTGTTGCTTCTATTTCCAAAGGGCTGGCTTTGTCCTCTTCCTCTGAAACTTTGGTTGAAGGGAGCTCGTTTGTTCTGGGTGATGGTATTGACAGAGGGTGAAGACCCCTCAGTAGCAAAAGTTCCAACATCAATACTTTCGAGCCTACTTTCTAAGCTGAGGAGCAATGAGTGTATTTCTCTGAGGCTGTAAGGCTCTATTCTCGAGTTGACTGAGACCATGACTGAATTGTAGTCACTTCCAAGGCCTGTCAGGATATAGGATATGTGTTCTTCTTCACTTATCCTTTGGCCAGCAGCTCCGAGCATGTCACAACAAGATTTAATCTTGTTAAGAAACTCTCTCATGGGTAGATCTGCTTTCTTCAAAGTTTGGAGCTGAAGCCTGTACTGCATGATTCTTGCTCGAGATTGAGTGGCAAAGTTGCTCTCAAGAGTTTCCCACACTTCTTGTGAGTTGTTGAGTCCCACAGTGGTGACCAAGATGGACTCATTAAGTGAGGATAAAATCCAAGAAAACAGAAGCTGATCTTGTCTCTTCCAAGTAACATACTGAGGATTTATGGTTTGTTGCCCAGCTGGATCTGTGATGAACTGACTTGGAGCTGGTTTTGTGCCATCGATGAAGGAATCAAGTCCATAGCCATAAATGGCTGCCAACACTTGTTGTTTCCAAACAAGGTAATTGTTCTCAGAGAGTTTGACAGTGATGAGATTTCCTTGGGGTTGGACTATAGGTGAAAGCTCCATGTTTCTAGCTGTGAGGATGCCGTCCATGGAGATGAAAAAAAAAAAAAAAAAAAAAAAAAAAAAAAAAAAAAAAAAAAAAAAAAATAGGTATGAGCCCAGGTATTATCCTGCGGCTCTGATACCATAAAGGATTTTCAACAAATCTAAGAAGGATTTCATAATGCTTGAAAATGAGGAATAGTCAGATCTGGAATTGATTGCTCAATGAATTGTGTTTTTCGTACATATTGCGGCTGCTACAATATCATATATATAGGAGTTGCCAATTAGGTAAAAGACCTACACTCACTACAAGACAAAGGTAACAAAGGGATTGGAAAATAATGGACTACAGCTCATTTGTGTCCTTTCTCTCTTGTGACTGTGCATGGTTGTGCATGTCATCATGCATGACTGCCAACGTGGATAATTCATCACTAGCCATAGTAGTCAGTCAAACAATCTCCTAAACCCAGAAATTAAATATACAATTTGATCAAATTTGCATGAACTAAAGAAAAGCTGGAGAATCGAATATACCTTTACAGGGTTCAACAGCTCAACTCCAAAACGTTCGATAGCTCGAGCGGCGAGCGATTTAGGGGAAGCGTCATGATCTCCGGTGTAGATCACACATTCCAGCTCCGGAAACTCTTCCTGGACGGCTTTGACGGCGCACCACAACACTCGCTCGGCCCCGCCGCCGTCGTTTGTGTACGGATGAAAGAAACCGATGGATCTACTCCGGTTTCTCCGATGGTAGACCACGGCGGCGGCGATCCTGACGGTGATAGCCGATATTACGCTTACGAACATCAGCGCGAGCATGTGAAGTGAAGCCATTGCAGCTGTGAGCTGCAAAATTCAGCCGATTGGATGATTGATCAAATGGAGCTAATCGGATCGTATTTGTAATTTAGTACCTGTAAACTTAAGCCCGGCTCAGCTGACCGGTCCGCCTCTCTTACTTTTGAACCGAAAACCCATCTTACCAAAAAAAAATCTCAATTCAGTGATGATTGGTCGGGTTTGGTACAAAACCACAACGAAGTACAAAAAATACAGAAGCTACTATAAAATATAACCGCATCAAAATAATTAGAAAAAAATTGAATCAAATTTTTTTATACGAAAGTAATTAAATCGAACCATTATTTTTAATTTTGGCTCAACTTTTGTGAACATTTATATTTAATTTGGTACAATTTTATACATATTCGCATTAGACCAAAAACATAAAAAAAATCAAACTCTTAAAAAATAACTGAACGAATATTAAAAAAAACCAACGAAATTGAACCGTAAATTTTCCACGCAAGAAAATGGAATTAAGCCGCACCAGATTCCATTGTTAAGACATTTGCCCTCAGTTATGCTCACTCCTAAAGCCTGTGGCCCTGTATATGCTCTCTCAATTAATCTTCAGAAACTTCACTCTCCCACATTACCATCGGTCTTGCTGTGTTCTTGCCTGAACTGTTAATCGGATCCAAATACTACGACGAATTTCAGGGCTCCGAATTATCGCATTTTGAACAAATTACCCAAGCAACTCCCAGCAGAAAGAAGGCCTTGGTGGCTATTTTGGAACGATAGGTTGGTTAATGGAGCTTATTTCAGCTTGAACTATCATGATATTTCCCTTTGTCGGAAGGCTAAAAGGGTAGTTAACTCTTAATCATACTTTATATGAGACAATGTGTTTTGGTGGTAGTTATTCTGATTCTGTGTTGCTCGTTACCTGTTTGATAGAATGTCTCGAGCAGATAGTGTATATGAGTTCGTTAGTTTATATATGTGAAAAAAGAAACGTGGAATTTGGTTGAATTTGTATTTGGTCTTTCCCAATCGCTCTTGCTTTGGTGTTTTCGCTTTAAAGGGTTTTAATCGAATCCCGAATTAGATGCATGACTGATTATGATTAGGTGCTCCATTTTAATTGAACCCTTGGAAAAACATAGATTTTAGCATATCTCACGATCATTAACTTGTTGCAGAATGTCTGTAGGGGGAATTTATTTGTGTTTTCCTGTTCCTGGTGAGCATGTTTTCATACTTCTCGGTTTAATGAAATTTGTCAATCTTTTGAACTATTTTCCATACAAATTACAATCATATTACATTTTTCTGGACAGGGACACTGGTCATGGATCCTGCCAGAAAGAAAGCTCAAATCTCTCTGGCATTGCAAGAGATGGCCTTGGGAACAGTTTCTTTCCTAGAAATACTCGTGAACGCACGTCGTGCTTCTAACCGCCGGCAAAATATTCGTCAGAAAGATAACCGTTCAAAATATGACATCATCAGCAGGATACCCGCACGAGTCTCGAATCTGCAGAGGATCATCAATATTAGTGATGCTGACTGCATTGAGAACCTGAAGATGTCCAGAAATGCATTCTTAAGGTTATGTTACATATTGGAAAACATGGGTGGAATCACTGATACTAGAAACATTAGGGTTCATGAGAAAGTTGCGATTTTTCTTTCTGTGTTGGGACATCATAGGAGAAACCGAACTGTGAAACAAGACTTTGTTAGATCCGGGTACACTGTGAGCAAGTACTTCCATGAAATTTTGGGAACTGTCTTGAAACTCTATCCTTTACTACTTGCAACCCCAGAGCCTATTCCCGAGGATTGTACAAATGAAACATGGAAATGGTTTAAGGTATAAAAAATCCCTTCAACTTTTGCATTGAGCTGAACACAAAACTAATGAATTTTTGGAAGTTAATTTTTCTTCACGTTCTTTTATTGGATAGGGTTGCTTGGGGGTGCTGGACTGTACTTACATCAATGTGAAAGTACCAGAAGCTGATAGGGCTCGATATAGAACAAGGAAAGGGGAGATAGCTGTTAACGTGCTTGGAGCATGCAATCGAGACATGAAATTTATTTATCTACTGGCTGGGTGGGAGGGCTCTGCCGCAAATGATAGAGTGTTGCTTGATGCTTTGAACAGAAAAAATGGATTAGAAGTGCCGGATGGTAATCTTTTGTTTTATATCAGATTGTTTTTCTTTATATGGTTCTGAAACATTTAGTAAATTATGTGCGTATAGCATTTATGTTTTTTGGGGCATTGTATTGCTTAAATTTGACAGGTAACTATTACCTTTGCGGTAATGTGTATGGGAACCGAAAGGGGTTTCTAACTCCGTATAGAGGCGTGGGGAACGACCTTGCCACATCATCACCTCCACAAACCAAGGAAGAGTTTTTCAATTTGAAGCACTCGTGTGCTCGCAGGGTGATAGAGAAAACCTTTCGTCTACTGAAATTGAGATGGGCGGTTTTGAGGAGTAATTCACATTACTCAATGAAGGTACAAAATCAGATTGTCATGGCTTGTGTACTGCTGCACAACTTCATCCGCAATGAGATGCCTGTGGACCCTCTTGAGCAATCACTTGAAGAGAACACAGATGTGACTGAGAATGAGTTCATAGATTTCGTTAGTTCTTACGAGCCTGAAGTTTGGCCTTCTTGGAGGGATGATTTGGCTAATTCAATGTTTAAAGAGTGGCTTGGCGTTGAGTGAAAGTGTGTGGAGCAGTGTAGATTATGTGGTGTTTTTAAGATTTGGTTAACTTTCTCTGGCTAATCTAACATTTTAGCATCAGATATTGTGACTTCTTTTGTTAGACATGATTTATAAATAGCATTGTCATTTTGACATGCCTAGGGCTATTTTTAGCATCAGATATTGAGACTTCTTTTGTATGACATGATTTATGAATAGCATTGTCATTTGACATGCCTAGTGCTATTTTGTGACAGGTGCAGGGATTTCATGTTTACGCACACCATAGTGAACCAAACCACGTAGTATTAGGTTTCACACGAGGCAGTCAGTGTTTTTATTGAAATGCTTTGTAACTTAGGATGTTTGTAACTATGATATCTCAATATCTATCTTTACTTGAACATTAGTTTTTATTAGTTTTGGTCAAGTGTTGATAACTTGCGTAACATAATTCGATAGACATGCCCGGAAAGAAGTAATACATGTGATTGTTCTCCTAACTTTCGATGACAATATCTTTCATGTAAGAAAAAATTGAGGAAACATATGATATATAAAATTAAAGTAGAAACCCAACTTGCATTCTATGAACATGCAATAAAGTATAGAACAACAAGACCAAAATTACCACCAAAACACACGAGAAGACATTCGCAGTCATCACAGATTTGCCAAGTGAGAAATAAGTACAACCTAAAGTCTCTCTATCAGGTCTGGTCACCTGCCTTGATATGTTCACAATAATACAGATTCGCCACATCTTGCTGCAAAAAATATAATACCTCACTCACACCTACCAAAGAATATCACAAAGAAACATATATTTATAGAAGATATCCACACCCTATTGCCGACAGAATTCCGGGTCACGTTATTTCTTCTTTTTCCTTCTTTTGTAACGTCAAAGTAATATGCATATGATACGATACGCCTCCACCTTTGAAACCTTAACCTCCAGGAAATGTGAGGCAAACAAAGAGACCAGAAATCAATCACATGTAAATTCCTCTCCCCACTAAGCACTAACTACCTTCCGAAAGTCTCCATCAGTAATGGCCCATTGGTGGCATTCCGAATGGCGGTGGCATCCCCATGCTCATGCCGCCCATGGGAGGAGGCGGCCCAGAAAAGCCACCTCCTCCCATGCCAGGTGGCGCGGGTAAAGCAAGTGGCAACAACTGAGCGTACATATTCTGCGTGCACCACAATAAACACGCCAAATCAGCTATATATTCAGTAGCCAGGGAAATGTTTTTTCATGTATTTTGATCTCTCGAGCTTTAAGAACTCTCAAAAGTAATCTTATAAAATTTTCTGAATCTAAGCTCGTCAAATAACCTCTTGAGACAATTTAATACTAGATGGTTACAAACAACACAAATACTTCCTAACCCAAACACAAACTAGTGGAATCAACTGAATGCCAACTGACTGATCAACAATTGCATAACACAGTTATTTCAATTTTCTTTTCCTTTCAAGGAGTACATACCTGTTGCTTCATGACATCTTTCTCTTCCTCCTCTTTAGCCTTCTCTTCCTTCAGAGACTCAATCTTGTCCTTAATAAGTTCATCAACTTTGCCAGTGTACTCCCGGATAAACTGCAAGCGAGCGAAAGATGAAACATGTTAAGCACCTAACAAAAGCAGAGCCTAATTCATAGTCAGTCCTAGTGTTTTGGAAATTATGAGGATCACCTGTAAAAGATATGGGAAGGCAAAGTCAATCATGTTGTTCATCCAGGCAAGTTCAAGAGCAACGTCCGCGCGAATCAGATCGTAACAAACAAACAGGCAAGACGCAAAGCACTCCTTCTTTCCCTGAATAAAGGACAAAAACAATCAATATGAGGAGACCAACTCAATCGTCAGAATATCATGTTTTACAATACAACTAATCGACGCACGTCAGTTCGCAGAAATATACAGCATGGTAGGAATGCCACAATATATAAGACCAAAAGATTCTCAATTTACAAAATCTTAGCAGGAATTCAAAAGAAAGTAAAAGTCCATTACGAAGATGGTCAAAATTCCTATAAATGTAATGTGTCTATATGCAGAAACGAAAACTAATACAGTAAGCACCATGCCATGAATATATCAAGTGCCAATTACAATCACCAAAAAAAAAAAAAAAAAAAATNAAAAAAAAAAAAAAAAAATCTGAGGGAGAGACAAAAACAAGTTCCGTGATCCACAATACCTGTTCAATGAAGTAAACTAGCAACTCCTCAGCAAGTTCGCGATCACCAGACTGTGAGGCCGTCTCCATCGCATCTTTGTAGAGATTATCTTTCTTCGACAATGCAATCGACTGCTTCCACCTCCCTGCCTTCTTGTAGATGTATGCCGCAACACGTCTCATCTCCAGTAGCTCATGTTTCTCAATCTGCTCGAACAAAACACAAGTTACATGTAGATCTATGCTAAAAGTGGACAAAACTTAGGTACGGCAATTTGCTACTTACCTTCTGAGCAAGGCCAATCTGGTCAAAACTGTCGTGTAAGTCAATCGACTCACGCAGTCTGTCATAATCTTCCTCCTCTACATAGATCTCATTGAGAGCCTCATTCACAGCAGACACATTGTTGCTCTGAACAGCTACCATATATGGCTTGACAAGGCGTAGGTGGCCCGCCTAAAGAGAGAAAAAATTAAATGTTTTATGAGCAAAGCCAAAGTCAACATTCGAACAGGCACTAATTGAAGGAATAAAACAAATGGGTCTACCTTTCTCATGATGTCCACAACGCGAGTGTGGTCCAATCGAAGGGCAAGGACATTCAGAACATCATTGATGAGATCAGGGTGCTCTTGCAGATAGAAGTGCACAGCTTTGTAATAGAGCTCCACATTTGCCACCTTAACAATGATATCTTTGAATTGCATGTGATCCCAAGCTTCTGGGGAGTGATTCATGACAGTGGTGGCGGCATTGTCAAACTCGTCATACTGAATGTACAAGTAAGTCAACTCCTGCCAGTGTTGTTGCTCGTCACATGCTCGGATAAGCTTCGGGATATTGAGACGGGTAGAGAACAATTTGATGTGTTCCATGAGCTTCTCATGGCGGTATCGAGCATAAAGGACACCAAGCTCAGTAAAAATGCCCATGTGTGCACGTTCCAATCCCAGACCACTCTCCATTAGAGATATAAGCTCGTTAAAGCATCCTCTGTTCTGGTAATACTCACTCACCTCTTCCAGGTCGTCAACCTGTAATCAGAGATTGGTGTTATATTGTGTTTTGGAAAATGTTACCCAAAGCGAAAGAATCAGGAGCTAATATTAAAGCAACAATAATAATAAATAAATAAAGGATGCTGATCAATTTGACAGTTTGAGATCATTTTCTTTGTTAATTTATATGATGGACCCATTTTTTCTCCCTTAGAGTGCTGGTTTATCTCGAGTAATTTAGATGACTTTATTGGTTTCTTTTGAAAGATTGTCTCGTGACCTCTGTATAAAGAAGATTATTTTATAAAATAGACAGCAAGAGTTCAGAGGAAAGAAAGGGAAATTTCATTAACATATGCAATTTGTTTCTAGAATCTTTATTCTTTACTATTCATCTTCTCCTAAAGCATGCATAACCCTAGTTTCACCTAAAACATAACTACTGAATTCCACAAAATAATAAAGAAACGCAATAAAAGAATAAGTGAAAATTTTGAAAAGAAAAAAATAATGATCCATAAGAGTGAATCACACCCAGAAACTATTTGACAATAAATTGAAGTACCTGCACAATAATATTGAGACCACATATCTGGGCCAAACGGAACTCCTCGGCATCCACACAAGCAAAGCAGACCTCCTTCCACGTCTTTGCACTATTGGCTTTCCGGGCGGCATCAACCGCACCTTGGAACTGCCTCAACTTCACAAGAGTGATGGCCAGCTTGCCCCAGTTTGAAATGAAAGCAAAAATAATCTTTGCAGCTTCATACAAAGCTTCATCGTACAAGCGGTCACCAACACTAGGTAGATTCGCAACGTTTGGCATCAGAATGAATTCTTCAATGTCACCCAGTCTATCAATCTTGGCATACGCATAAATGAGCTCACTGTCCACCTTGGGCTCCTTTGCTCTCTGCCTAACCATAAGAAGATACTTCACCAGATCATCGTAGACATCAGCATCCTCGGCAGCTTTGATTACTTCCAGGAATTGGGTGGCATCATCAGCCCGAATAAATGATTCAATGGCATCACTAACTAATCCCTCACGAAGTTGAGCCTTAGCAACTTGACTCCAGACAGCATCCTCCTCAACACGGAAAGCAAACTCCACAGCTCGGTTTATGTCGCGGATATGATCCAGTAGCACATCGACAGCCTGGACGTTCAAGTTGAACTTCTTGAAAATAGCAAAGGCTTCTTCATATAACTGAGCTTCAACAGCCACTTCTCCAACGGCTGGACCATCAAAGTTATCAAGTCTGTTAATGTAGTCGATGACCCTCGGTGGATCAGCCTTGATTGCAGTCAGAATGAGCAGATTCTGCAGGTTGAAGTTCCCGCTGAACGCCGAGTTCTGAAGCACAATCTTTTCGAGTAGCTCAATAAGTTCATGAGGAAGATCGGCTGTCATAAAAGCTTTAACAGCAGCAGAAACTTGGTCTGGGCTCTTGCTTTCCGGCAGAGCAGTGGAGACGACTTGATCGATGAGCAGCCTTCTGAATTCATTCTCAGGGTCAAGAACCTTTGCCCAGAGATCACCATCCATTCTTTCTACAACATACCTGAGAAAAAAAGAAATGTCAATCAGCTTCTTTTTTTCGAAAACATGAAGACTAGGAACCAGAGATGAAATCACATGGCCACAAACCTAGCTTGAAGCTTGAACAGAGAGTTCTTATTTGTCACGTTAATGAGTTCATCATCACACTGCCCTCTCCGATACGCAACAACGGCAAGGGTCGGATCACGTTTTTCACAGTATTTACCAACAACACGCGAATCATAGTATGGATTTGTGGTGAGGAAATGCTCTGGGTTGTTGTTGCTATCTATTATGATTTTACCCAAAGCATTGTGAACATGCACATCTTGGCTTCCTTCACTCACGAGATGCTCCAAAAACTGAGTAAGCAGGCGAAGCCGATTCCTGCACACCAGAAGTCATGCATGAGCATATCTAGGGGAAGGCTACCTTGAGTCCTTGACACAGATTTATGTGGCAGCAGAGCCATACCTTTTTTCACATTCCTCCACCAGAGGTTCAACAGGAAGCAGAGATCGGACAGAAAGGATAAGGCCTTTAATGAAATCTTCAGGACACTCATCATCTAGGAGCTGCCCAACAACTAATGGAGCATTTCCTGGATTAACCTAATTAACGAGATAGCAACTATTCAATTGCACGAAAGAGAATCATCTTTATCAAAATCAAACATCAAACACAGCCATACCTTTTGCACATAACCTTCAATATAGCGGAGCATGTTGCTAGAGTACAAGTAATGGGTAAGGTCGGGAACAAACCCAAAGCGGTCACAAACATTGATCAATGGCCGTGCATCAGGAAGTTTGGCGTCCATTAAAAAGTTCTTAGTCTTTTCAGGGTCATAGAAATCTGATTCTCTAGTTACCCGCTCAACCTCCTTAATTTGTCCAGTCTTGGCAGCTGCCTCAATGTACTTGAAGTGAATCTCAGGATCCTCACTGCAACACACGAACATTAGCACTAACTACAACATCATATAGAAGTTCAGTCTCCTAAATATACATTACCTAGAGCTCAAATACGATCCTAAGAAGAAATACAATCCTTCATAGGACTTAAACTGCTCAAACAGCTTAATGCATGCTTCAACTCCCAGATGTTCGCAATATTCTTTGGCAACCTACAAAAAAATTAATAATATACATAAGACAGCTGTCACAATGCCTGAAAACAACTCAGTTTCATATTTATGATACCATAGTTGTTGATAATATTTTTTTCCACACAGATTTACGACAGAACGCTATATGAATATACAAATGCATTTGTAAAACCTTCCCAACCTGAACAATTATCTGAAGGTTTCCTCTTAAATTGACCAGCAACAAATCCTTCATACACTCCATTGCCCATTCCTTGGAAAGTGTCCCAAAAAACTCCACAAGTGCCTGAAATTAATAATCATTATGCTCTAGAACCATAACTCATGGGTAAAGAAACAACATAACTTCAACAACCTGTGGCTCGATAGCATGGGTATTCACAATGACACGTTTGATATCAGGCAATTCAGAGTAATGCTGCAAGCACAGGTAGGCTGCTTAGGACATATAGAAAGCAAACATCATATGCTATCAGTAACACCCTCGGAAGACATTCAAACCTGAAGTGCCCGCACGTAAAGGCCAGCTTTTTCACATAGTTGTGCAATTCGAGGCCTGTCATAGTGACTAAACATGCCATTTGCCAAGATAGCATCGGCAACATTCGGGAAGGTGACTAAATTTATCTCCAGGACCTATATTAAAGAGATGAGTTGTGACTTGATGCTTTCAGAAAAGATATGGAGACTGGAAATAACTTGCAAAAGCACGAGTCATAATATAGTTATTTGACCTTCGTTTGCAGGAATGCGTGCTCTGGCAGATTTGGTTTCAAAACATCCAACAGAAATGCTGTTGCTTCACGGATCATATTCCTCTGGTTGGGAAAAAAAAAGGAAAAGGGATGATGATATGTTTTACTCAATTTAATCATCCAAGAGAGTTATGAAACATGCTCTCAGAATGGGGAGGTAGTCTGTACTCTGTAGTTAGAGTTGGCAAACAAAGGAGAAAATTTAGACCTGTAGAAAGAGATCGGTGATGGTATTATAATCAACAGGGCAACCCCCTTCCATTTGAGACATCATTAAGGCAAAACTAACAGCTCCCTGCACACGAAACATTTAAAACTGTAAGTCCAGATACTCATCACTTCAAGTGGATTAAAAAAAATACTCAGGTCGAATCTACACACTTAAAAAAATCAGAAATTTAAGTTTGCTTTATTGATTCAAGCATACCTCAGGATCTGACCGAAGAATGGTTTGCAGAAGGAACAGATAGTCAGGTGTATACCCAACCTGTTCCAAAACAAAAACTATTGTCATTGCAATGCATGACATAATAGTTTAAAGGTCAAGCAAAGCAGCTCCCTCAACAATATGATTTCCTGAATCAAATAAAAGAAAGGAACCAGAAATGTTAAAACCAGAAACGTTAAATAGTTGCGAATGACCTGCTTGGAGTATATTAAGATTTTGTCGAACTCCCGACGCTCCGCAAATGCAGCAACAACTTTTGGTGTAGCTCTTGCTTTGATATATATTTTCAGTGCAAGGTCATTGTCGACAGTCTACAAAACAAGGAGGGCAAGTTTGTGTTATGCAATATAAGAGGTTTCACACAAAATGAAATTACTGATTTAAAAAGAACTGAAACCAAAAGGACCTTCCGAACTTGAATATAAAATCTTACCTTCACAAGATCTCCAAGTTCTTCGCTACATTCAAGTTTATCCTCCGCCAACCAAGTCTCCACTAGATTCTTCTTGTTCTGGTTGACCACAAGACGAGATAACTCCAACGATTCAAATCCATTAAGCTTTCCTTTTGTTAAAATTGCCCCAAAGTACTGAAGCAGTGGTGCGGGTTGCCCTGGTTGTACAGGAACACTCTGAAAAGGCAGCACATAAACAAAATTCTGAATCAGGAAAGATTCTAATCACCCATCTTCTGCAGGTAAAATTCTGAGACAGGAATGATGTCTCGGAAAAAATGTACTTCAAACAACCAAATACATGCTTAACACAGAAAAAACAAATTGATAGATGATTGGAAATAGATACCTGAAATTTGGAAACAGTGTCAGGAGTCCGGAGGATGCCTTGTGGAGATTCTGCAGCAAGCTCAGCAGCCTCTTTATACTTTGTCTGAGCAAACAATTCTTGGAAGCGTTGAACAACCTGAGATATTAATATTTGGAAATGGGTGAATTGTCTGTCTCTTCTAGACAAAAAAACTAATGGAACTTGAAATTCAAAGAAGGATATAAACAAGAAGTTTCTCGGAATTCCATTTCAAAGCTGATGCATGAAACAAACGGACATGTATAAATACTAGTACATGCATACAAATGTAAGAACATAATATTCTCTAACCTTATGTAATTAACTTTCTTATTAAATCACTAACATGATGAATATAGATATTTCACAAATCTGGTACTGGTGCGCACCTCTTCATAAGGAAACAGATCTCACCAGATTAAAAACTATATACTACAAAGATGTTCAACGATCAAAAGCTTTACTGAACAAACCTTTTGAATATAGTAAGTTGACCCAATTTCAATATCACAAACATGTCAGAAAAGAATAGCCCCTGAACCCTCAAATTGACTTACCAAATTCTCTGCACCAGGAAGATTCCCTCTTCTGGCAAGATTGACAGCGAGCTCCAGATTGTTCAACTGTAATTAATCTTCCAAGACTCAATAATTATAATGAATGGCTATTGTTAATACAAGATAAGCTGGTATATATACCTGGCCACTGATGAAAGGGATAATAGTAGTTTCGTTCACTGTAGCAAGTAAAACCTGGCCTCGCCTATTAATTGCATAAAAACCTCCAACAGATGAAGCTTCTGATGTCAGGAAAATGGGATCTGGACTGATCCTATTTCTGTATACAGCTGTAGCAGTTTCCAGATCATATACAAACAGCAACCCAAGTTTTGTAATCACATATATAAGACTATATTTATGTGATATCTGCAAAATTAAAGACATAAACATGTAAACAAACAAATGAATGTAAAAATTCACAAAAGGAGAAAAAGAAAATAAAATTCCCAGGGAGGAAAAGTAAATACCTGCATGGCCACTGGGAAATCGTCAGCAAAATCTGGAGGGAAGAACAGATCCGCTTGCTTTTTTGTAAAAGATGGTTTACCTGAACAGGTTGCAGAATATAAGCAGACAAATAAATATATGAAAAGCAATAGTGATTCAATATGCTAAACCATGAGTTTTAGAAGGAAAATATTTCCACCTGGCTGGGCCCCAAGCTCAATAATGTGCAACTTAGATATCGTCTGACCAGCATTAGAAGTCTTTGTCGCAAAAGATATAAGAATTGAATCCTTCTCATTTCCAGGCACCTGCTCAAGTATATACAAGAAGATAAAAGAAATTCAGCCCATAAGAAGAGAAAACAGTTCATAACAAATCAATGGACCACCTACTCTGAAAGAAGCAAATGATGCAGCATGTGCTTCTAGAGCCTGACTACGTTGTTGATCCACAGAGAACAGCTGCATGTTTCCCTTGACCAGTTGAGGCCTCTAAAGTAGGAAATTCATCTCAGTAAGTTGATAGTCAAGAAAACACAGCCAAAAATGGCAATATGAAAACAAGCCATCTTTAAACAGTTGTTGATCTCCAAATAATTTTTTTTACACTTGCAACCACATGTATGACTTGGGATGCCAACAAGAATAACAAATCAAGAGACGAGTATAGGCGGGGAGGAGGAATAATAACAGTTCCAATTGAAACTAATAGATTAGCATGAAAAATGTGAAAGCAAAAGAACAGACAGCATCATGTGAAGTGAAGAAACAACTTCAATGCAAGCACCAAATCAAAACCAACTGAATATAAAATCAGTACAAACGCGCATAGAAGAATTTCTAAGCATATGGCAAAGCAACTCAAAAGAAACTGTTATTCATTTACAATTTAAATTAAACATCAAAAACATTTACTAAATGTATTAGACACTACAGTATATTGAGGGGGGACTACAAAGATACATTTTCCAAAAATCTGATTCCTCGCATGTAAGATATCTTACTAAGCCATTGTCTCATTTTTGTAGCATATATTGTTTCCTCAAGTTCAATAGAAGTGACTGTCAAAAATCCATAAGAATCATAAAGAACAGCACAAGTATAAATCCATACTTAACTCTTAATATCCCGTCTAAGTATAAGTTTTAATTGTTCACTTCGTTACATTGGACTGGCAAATACAAGGTGGTATTTTGAAATGCCATTGTACCTAGCACCATGCTCATTATATTTGCAAATAAGAACGATATCAACAAATATGAGGCACACATGTAATGACATGTGGTACGCGTAAGTTAGCATGCTTCCAACTACCGCATGACAACCCTGATACTTCTATAATTTGGAAAATTAATAAGACGGCATTGAGAACGTGAGGTTAACTAATGAACAAAAGAGCACATGAACAGACAATGTGAATCTATGAAGGCTCAAATACACAAAGGTTTCAAAATGAAGAACAAGTTCTATACATCTACAGATATTCAGTGTCTCAATAAGACCTCGTGCTTGAGTATAAAACTATTACCTAAGCTTTGATATAAGGAAGAAAACAAAGGATAATGAATTTTCCCAAGACTATTAACAAATTTTCTAAAAGAATGGTATTGTACAACAATACATAATCATCACAGAGTAGCGCAGGCAGAAAAATAAGCATTGAAGCAGTAGAAGGGTATTCAACCAGCCAAAATAGTGAAAATCAACTAGGCACAGACATTATTTTTACTGCAGACATTTGAGTTTCAAATGGCTGCAATCATATCTACCACTTCCAAAAAAATAAGAAAAGACATAACAATCACGCACCTCAGGAGAGCCTGGAGCAATCCCAATCACCACCAACCATTTTTCAGAAGGATCGCATTTGTAATTGATAATCTGGTTGTTTGCTAAATTGGCAGTTCTATCAAACATCTTTAATGGTTCAGAATCACCTAATCAGGAGTACCAAAAAAAAAACAACATTTAAGGCAAACTGGGACAAGAAAATGAAAAGGAGAAACCATGATCACAACATAAAAGAACCCAGCAAAGTGAACCATGCCTTCAATTGACCAGTGATATACAGCGGATTGTGTCACCAGACCCAACATCTTAGGGGTAATCCACTTCCAAAATACAACCTGTCAAATGCAGACATCTAGATGATGTGATCATGTGAACATCACAACAACCATCACATAAAATAAGCCAAAATGACTATGCTGCTAAATTAAGCATCCAAATCAATGAGTACTTCAGTTACTAAGATCTTGCCTGCTCAGGCATCTGATGTGACTTCAGTTTTGCTTTTGCTTCAATGTTAAATATTTGCAAGTGATCCTGTGTCGTCCCGGGAAGTTGAGCTTCAACAAGGAAACTGGTGGTTTCAGTAATTGGATTTTGGACCAATAATAGGTAAAGTCAAAAGCCATTATAGATAAAA